TAAATATAAACAAAATAAAAACGTCAATACTTTAATACCGCAATCAAGTGGTTGAATAACTTCGATTTTTGATGTACGCCACCTGTGTATAAAAAAAAAAAACTAAATGGGTGCATGCTCCACATCAACTTTATCATCAGCTTCTGAGATTGGAGCTATCTGACCCTCAAAATATCTGCAATGTCAATCAGTATTAGTAAGAGTATGACCACACCTGATTAAGAGTACAAAGTCTAAATTTTCAGAAGGCTAAAAACAAGTAAAGATTTGAGCTAAAAAAGAATCATCTAAAGCCTTGAGAATTTGGGATAAAGATTTGAGTTTGTCCTTGTAGCACCACAAGACACTCGGATTACCATCATTAAGCTAAAACCATCATATCCAACTGTTTTCAGGTAATAATTTCAACAAAAGCTCTAATGTTTTCTACAAAGCTAGGATCACTCTAGAATAAAGTTCTATATCACCTTCTTCTTCTTCATCAATTTCCTGGACGACGGTTAGCAACGATCTGGTTTAGCTGATCCTCTACCTTCCTCTCAATAGCTGCTTGAGTTGCAGCAGCCGTCTCCCTTGCAACATGGTTAGGTCTGCAAAACAAAAGAGAAACATTAGTTTCTAGACTACAACCATATCGAGTTTGTGGTTCAAATTAATGAAACGTACCAGTTTTATGGTTTTGTTATGATTTGATCGTCGGAATATATTTCGAAAACACATCTCGTTTTGTATTTATCATCTTGAGATTATCCTAACTACATTGTTATGTTAGGTTGTTCGTCAACATACAAAAGAATCACAAATTTAACAAAATCCATGAGTATGTACGAATTGTTTTTGCTTCCATATTTTTATATTTTTTTGCCATAGGATGAAATCAAAAAGTCTTAAATTTATGATTATAAATCTAAACATTTTCTTATATCTAAATAAAATATTTACATTCTTAACAAAAAAAAAGAAAAAAAACAAACTGGAGCAGGTACACATGCTCATACTAAGAAAGAAATCAGCAAACCTTTTAAGATCCAATACTAAAAAAGTAAAGAGTCAACAATTACTCTCCGAAAATGAAGCTGAGAACAAATCACGGGTGTTGAATAAAATTCACGTGAATTATAATATTACAAAGACTAGAGGGATTATACGTTACTTACCAGACTTGTTACGACAATTATAATCATTATTTTCTTACGACCAATCAAATCTCGATTTCGGTGGGACTAAAACGATCGTGTTTCACGTCACTGATTCTGACTTTTGTGGTTAATTACCTGAATTTACGAGTAAGCATTTACAACAAACTTATGTTTTTGTCTTCAAGTTTTTTAGATTTTCTTTTGTAGTAAATGTTAGTATGTCCTAAAGTTGTTTTTGAGACTATTTCATACATAGGATTATTATAACTTCAATTAATATATAGATGTTAATATATTACAGTATTAAATTAAATGCTTTACATGTTAATGGACTAATGACCATTACATGTACTTAGTGGTTTAATTTGTGTTAGTGTTGTGAATATCTACGACAACTAGTGAACTAGATTTTCTCCCATACAAAATCATGATAAAAATTAATTGACTAGTGTCTGATTAGATCGGCTCTAAGCCAAACCGATGAAACTTGGGTTTGGGGTGCTAGGTGATTTATAATTTTTTGGCCATATTTTTCATGTGGACTCATTGGATCAATTGGTGTTATTAGTATACAAAATCACTCAGTGTAGTTTAGGTAAATCCCTGAAGACAAGTCTTATCATTTTCTGTATATTACTATTTACTCATCACTAGCTAAAAGCTTTGATTTGATTTAATCTTTGTTGATAAACCTTTGTTTTAAGGGAAAAAAAAAATCACAAATCTATAAAATTTTGGAAATTCATTTTAAAATTTTCCTATAAATCTATAAAGTCATACAACTAACAAAAAAAATATCTATAAAGTCATAAAGTGCATTTGATATCTTGATCTTCTTTTTTTTGCTATCAAATTTTCTTTTGTTAATTCTGAAATTCAAGATTTAATACTAAAGAATTTATTCTAGATTTATCTTATTTTAAGGGATTTCTAAGATTAATTGTGTGAGATTAATTGACTAATGAATAAAAGAAAGATAAACCTTCCAAATTCGGCCGTACCTCATCAAAATAACTTTACGATAACCATATTTAATAATATATAATCTCAAAAATAGTTGCAGAGCCTTTCTTAATTATTTTTTTAGGCCTACATAAGGAGATAGAACAATCAGAATCGAGAACACAGAACATAAGTTCCAAAAAAGTTCACAAAACATAACAAAATGTTGTCTTTTCGTTATAGCTTCGTCGTACTGACATTACTCTCTGTTTTGTTAACTCTAGCCTATGGTCTACCTAGGGTAAGACCAATCAAAGATGTCCAACCGAAAAAAACGCTAAAGGTTCACAACCAGATCCGAGCCGCGGTCGGGGTGGCTCCATTGAAGTGGAACAGAACAGTAGCGGCCTATGCACAGAAGTTCGCAAACAGACAAGCCAAAGCCGGAGTCTGCGACTACAGCTCCATGAGACATTCTGATGGACCTTACGGCGAGAATATCGCTGCGGGATGGGTCCAACCTGAAGACCAAATGAGCGGTCCGATCGCGGCAAAGTATTGGTTGACGGAGAAGCCAAACTACGATTATGCGACTAATAAGTGCAAAGATGTTTGCGGACACTACACTCAGATGGTGGCCAATCAATCGTTCAGTCTTGGATGTGGCTCGTTCAGGTGTCATGAGAATGAGTTAATTTATATTGTATGTAACTATTATCCTATGCCAGTGGGTGATGAGAATACACGTCCTTATTGATTATGTTGATGATGTGAAGAAATGATCCATATGGTAATGTGATTTGACAATATTTAATATGTTAAGTTACTGATCCGTTATATGTATAAGACTATAAAACCAAGTTTATGATATATTGGTTTGTATTAGTGTTGTTGCTGTGAAATCATTCAGAATAATATGTGATGGTCAATTTGGTTAAATAAATTGTGGTTACATACATTTCATAGAATATTATATGAACTTTTTTGCACAAAAAAAAAAAAGAATATTATATGAACTTTTTGTTATAGATGATTTTCAATATTTTCGTAAAGTATAATCGGAGTTATTTCCCTTTGTATTTACTCCGTTGGTATCTAGAGCTAGTAAATCAGTTGTGAAAAGAAGTAGGTAGGAGACATGAAAAATTGTGCTTCCGGTAAATTTGATTACGAGCATGCATTTAGATAATTATGGATTTTTTTTTTTGAAGAGCATGCCCAATTAATTTAGAAGTAGTCACAATTCTAGCAGAAATTATGGAGCAAATTTCTGCCTTGGGGAGCTTTATGATGCGGTTAAAGCGGCTATGCGACTCTAAGCATCCTACATATAATAGAGTAGATAAAAGTTCTATAGCCTGTGGACATCAACATTTCTTTAACTTTAAAATGATTAAAAGTTGTCTACTGGGTCGGTATAATAATAGCTTATCATCTTCCTTATTCTAAAATACTAAGTTTATTGAAATAGAGTTAAAAGGAACCAAAAGAGCGATGTTTTGACTTTTCAAGAAACACAATGATGCATAGTTTTAACTTTTAACATGACGTTGAGTTTCGAGGAATCATTGCATCCGACATATATGGGAAACGTTTTGTTTGTATTTTGAAAGTGGAGATATTGGATAGCACATAATTTGTTAGAATCAGAATGGATTGCAATTATCCAAGAAGTTCCATGCGATATACAATTCTAACTCTATTGTTTGGTGCATCTCCAAAGATGAAAAGAGAGAAAACCTACAAAAATTTCCGTGGATTTTATAGTTCATTTAGAAAAGGCTTGATAAAAGAATATATTTAAACGATCGATTTGGGAACCTCCCACAAGTTGATTAGAATTAAATCATCCTGAAAAAGACCTTAGTAAAGATGGTGATTCCGTCTACAAACAACCATAACCTTTATCATCCGTTGAACCATGTCGAAACAAGATGCCGAACAAATAGTTTTTAGAGACTAGACAATCCCGATTATTCGGTTTAAGTTTTGGTTGGATTTGTAAAAATTAAGATGGCGAGACGATCTTTTGGAAACTACATCAGTCACTAGCAGAGAAGTTTTTTTGACCCCTTCACATGGAGTTAGAAGCTAGCGTCCATCTAGAAAATGAAGTACACCACTACACTTTGCCCAAGCATATGTGGTCTAGTGGTAGATGAAGCTTTGGGAAAGGGTGAAACTCCCAAACCCGAGTTCGATTCTCCTTAGAAACAAAAACACATTTGTTTGGGAAGTCTGTCAGTTGGGCCTTGTCCCAATTGGTTTACCTGGTAGTCAGAAATACAGGCGGCCTGTCTACTCCCTGGCATTAGTCGGAAGGCACTCCAAACTCGGATCAGACAGTGTGGTGGCCCAATTCTGGATCTCATGAATCTTATGGCCCGTTCGACCCGAGTCCGCTCGGAGCTCATGGTGTCCGTTGAATCGTTGAACCGTTGAACCGCGGGAGTAGTCCACTCTGTAGCACCTCGGTGCGTTCCTACCGAAGCTGACCGGATCAGCCGATAGGGATTATCAAAAAAAAAAAAAGTAGACCATTAGACACAAGCTAAAATGTATTCGTAAAGTAACCTTGTTTTTTTTTTTTTTTTTTCATTTGGTAAATATTGAATTGAAATGTGTACAAATTACTAACAGAGGATAAAACAGCTTAGAAACATTAGAGAAATGTCATTACCAATCCTACACTTAAACAATCTCCATTGGTAGTTTCTTACAGAGAAACTCTAATAAAAATTACAAGTCTGTTTTCAAATTCCATGGCATAAAGAAAAACGACATCGTTTACTCTGTTTACTATAATCCCAATTCGACGGCCACGATGAGCTAGACCACTGTAAATCAGGTGGTCGTGGAACTACCAGATCAACGATCTGAGTTCTTCCTTCTTCGCTCATACTCATACGCTAAATTCTGATTGAAGAATTCGTTCGTCGCTTTTCTATTTGATTCTCCTTGGAACAACAGAGATCAGACTCGAATCCGTAACACCATTGTTGATTCTCTAAAGCATCTGCTGATTTCAATCGTGAATTTAGCCGGTGGTGCATGGAAGCTCCATTAACGGAGAGTTTGTTTCAATTCTGATTCATCAATGGCGTCTTGGCTCAAAGCTGCCGAAGGTAATATTTTAATGGTTTATTTGCATCTATATTGGTGATAACAAATTTTGAAGTTTCCGTTAAAATTTTCGTCAGATTTATTTGAGGTTGTGGATCGAAGAGCAAAATCTGTGGTTGAAGAGCTTTCCGAAGAACAGACCGATTTACAGTTGCCAGGTACTGTGTGGAGATTACTCTGATAGTACTAAAAGCTTTCTCTTTGGTACTGGTTTGATCTGTGATCACAATTTGAATATCAGAATCATGGAAATGTCTTAATACTGAAATGTCTTCGTTTCATTTGAGGGTTTTACCAATTTTCTTCAAATTTTGGAAATAAATTGATAAACTTTAGTATCTCTGTGAGAATTTGTGATGAAACTGAGTCCAAAACAGATTATCTAACAATTTAGAAACATTGGCATTGTCCTGGAGTTGATATAAGCAAAGCTTGACGCTCTTATCTTTATAATTTAAAACTTATAATCATGTGTATATGTCTCTTATATTGTGTCTGTTTTTATTTGGGGTGGCTAAAGCTTCTGGTAGGAAAGGGTCTCAAGGGAAGAGAACAAGTTCAAAGAAAAAGGTATTACCGTGGATCTATCGTTTGTAAGTTGTTCTCGTTGTTTGCTACATCGATACTCAAGACGAAATTCTTTGTTGTGGAATGTATTTGTAGGCTCGACAGAAACTTGTAAAAGAAGAATCTTCTAGTAAAAGAGATTTTTCTGGTGATCAATCTGGCCCAGGGGTATCACAGTCAGAGGTGCCTTCATCTAAAAGTTCTGTTTCCACTGACGAGGCATCTTCATCAGGGCCTGTCTTGCAGACAAGAGAGATACCGACTGATGCAGCTGTCCAGAGGGTTCAGTCACTTCCACTACCAGTGGCAGATACAAAAGGTGACGATGCTGCTGTGGTAGCTCGAGAAAGTGTTGTGGATGGTGATGGTTCTGTGTCAAAGCATGCTGATGGAGATATTCCAAATGATTCTTCTGTGCAACCATCACCATCTTTACCTGACAAAGAAATTGAGGTCGCTGTCAGTGAGAACCTGGTTGATGCTCCCAAAAATGGCGCACAACAAGAGTTAGATGATTCTTCAAAAAAAGACCTGGAGAAACTGGAGTCTGTAGTGCATGTTCCTTCGGTTGGTGAAGAGAATGTGGCACAAAGCACGAGCGATGAGGTGACAGTTGGCAATTCAATCAATCTGGAGAAAGAACAGGAACCGAAAGTTTCTGACACCTCAACCAATCTGAAAAGAGAGCAAGATCATAGAGTGGATACGACTTTCGTGAAGATTCAAGATCAACTTGAAGAGGTTGAATAGAAAATCCTATGTCTGCCACTTGAATTTCCATGTATGTTGTCTTCTTAAAAGTATGTTGATCAATCCATTCACTAATTCTAGGCTCAGGGGTTGCTAAAAGCTACCGTTTCCACTGGGCAGTCAAAAGAAGCCAGGCTAGCAAGGGTAAGCTCAAATATCCGTTGCTACTTTCCTGCATCAAATAGTTGATAATGTACTCGTTCATATGTAAGATAGGATTTATCCATGTCTGTGGTTGGATCTGAGCAATCTCAGATGTATGCATTTTTTGTCTTCATTTTCTTCTAGGTGTGTGCTGGACTTTCATCCCGTCTTCAAGAAATTAAAGCGGAAAATGCACAGTTGGAAGAGCTTCTCACTGCAGAGGTAAATTTCAACAGTTTGAGTTTCTTTTGATACTTGAAGGTGTTTTCAGTGCACCTAATTTTTTTATCTTTTCATTTTTCTTGTAATAGCAAGAGCTTACCAAGTCATATGAAGCTAGCATTAGACAATTGCAAAAAGATCTGTCAGCTGCTAAAAGTGAAGTGACGAAAGTAGAGTCAAGCATGGTTGAGGCACTAGCAGCTAAGAACTCAGAGATAGAAACACTTGTCAGCGCAATGGATGCCCTAAAAAATCAGGCTGCTCTGAACGAAGGAAAATTGTCGTCTCTCCAGGTTTCTAGGCCTCTCATTTGCTCATTATTCTTTTCTGTGCTTCCTATCATAGCATACCATGAGTCTTTGGTCCTAGTTACTTTGTCTCTTCAGTTGCCATTTTCTTTTTCACCCAACAAGCGTTTAGTAAAATCATTTACTACTTTTATCAGGGAGACATGGAGTCTATTATGAGAAACAGAGAATTGGCTGAGACTAGGATGATGCAGGTATTACTATAATTTTTTCATCAATGACTACCAATAATTTACTTCCGTGTATATACAATTACAAACATATAAGGTCCTCAGACCATTGAATCAATATTTTCTTATTACAGGCATTGCGGGAGGAGCTTGCCACTACTGAAAGGAGAGCCGAAGAGGAGCGTTCTTCTCATAATGCCACAAAAATGGTTTGTTGCCTGAACGATGCGAAAACTGTTTATAATGAAAACATTATATCAATTTTTGTTTTACATGAATTTCTCTTTCTAAGACAGGCTGCCATGGAAAGGGAAAGGGAACTAGAGCACAGGGCTGTCGATGCTTCCACAGCACTTGTTAGAATTCAGGTGAGACAGTCTCTTTGGATAGAGCGCTACTATCACTTGTTTACATTTCAAATAGACCATCCAACTTAATATGCTGTTAGTTTCTGAGTGTTGGCTCTCTCTTCTTAAATTGTTTTCTCTTTTCTCGGCATGGAAATTTAGAAATCCTTTGTATTTTCATATGCTACATATATGAACGATGTAAAGATTCTATGTGGAGCTCTTGTTTCCCAAAAACTACTTTGATCTGACTTTTTAATTGGCTGGTATTTCAGAGAATTGCTGATGAAAGGACAGCGAAAGTGGCAGATCTTGAACAGAAGGTGGCATTGCTTGAGGTAGATGAACTTATCTTCAATGCAATTTGTTCCTTCGTCTTCATATACATGAATTTCATTCAAAAAATTGACAAAATATACTCAGGCCGAATGTACATCTCTGAATCAAGAGCTGCAAGATATGGAAGTTCGTGCTCGCAGAGGACAAAAGAAGGCCCCAGATGAAGCAAATCAAGTGATCCAGGTATGTTGTATTAGGTTATCATGATCTACATTGTGGAAGTTAACTTCAACAATGAGTTCTTAGCACACTTTCAAATTTTCTTTTAGAAGCAAAAGCTATAGAACATATATCCAAAATGTACATATATGCAAAAAGAACACTTAACACTTATGCAAAAAGTACATATATGTTAAAAGTATTTACGATCCCTTGGTAACTCTGATAACTCATGTATGTGAGTTTAAATCTTCTACTTGATTTTATGGTGGGTCGTTTTCACATAAAAAATATATGGCGTTGTCAAAATCTACTCCAGCTTATTACATAACCCTTGAAAACAACTTTTATCAGTTTTGAAAAAAAGTTCAGATTTTGGCTAATACAGAGAAGTTACTTTTAATAATGCAGATTCAAGCATGGCAGGACGAAGTGGACCGTGCTCGGCAAGGTCAAAGGGATGCTGAGGAGAAACTTTCTTCAATGGAGGTATGTATGTTACTTAACTCGGAATTCTTTATAACATGATTTTTGTTGTTTACACATGATCTGTTTGATTATTTATAGGCTGAAATGCAAAAGTTGAGGGTTGAAATGGCAGCCATGAAGAGGGATGCAGAACATTACTCACGCCAGGTAATATCGACAGTTTCTGAGAGTCTGTCTCTTCTTGTCAATGCATTAACAGTTTCTGATTTTTTTTATTTTCTCCTAGTCTATATTTATGGGATGTCCTAGTTACTACTCTTTTCCTATCAAGTGGCTTAGGCAGACCTGATACTTCTCTGTTAAACCCCTAGGCGTTTTTATTCCATTGAATGCAGTAAATTTCATTGCCCAGTAAAATTCTTATGAATATTTTGTGGGAAAGGCCCATTGCTCTACCTGTTAACTTGGTCCTCTGAATATGACAGATTCATTCGATGTTTGCTAAACAAAATAGCCTACAATTAATTGATCTATTTGATTTTGCTCGTCAAGTGGTACCTTTAATGCATATGATTATGTAACATGAGTTTAATCGTTATACCCCTGACCTAGTAGGAGCATACGGAGCTGGAGAAACGCTACCGTGAACTAACAGATTTACTGGTAACCTGAACTCTTGAATGTACTGATTCTATAGATCAAAGTCATATTGGGAAGTTGTCTGATAGCTTCTGGCCACGGGTTTTGATTCAGTACTATAAGCAAACGCAACTAGAGACTATGGCGAGTGAGAAGGCTGCAGCAGAGTTTCAGTTGGAGAAAGAGGTCAAACGTCTTCACGAAGTACAGGTCAAACGACAAAGCTCTCTACGGTTCAAATATGTACTTTTACTTTCCATGATACTTACAAGAAAGGTTCTAAACTTGTTGATTCAGGTAGAGGTAGAAAGAAGCAGAGTTTCGCGACGCCCATCAGCAACTTGGGAAGAAGATTCTGAGATTAAGACACTTGAGTATGTCTTTTAGCTATGTCTGTGTTCTAACGTAGAATATGATGCTGATATATGTGTTGAGTTTGTTGTTCGATATTGACGGAAAACAATTCCAGGCCTCTTCCATTGTATCACCGACACATGGCTACAGCGAGCACACAGGTAGAGATTTGGGAACCCATTAAGAAAAACTCTGCTTCTCGGCGTTCTCTTTTAAGTTTACTCTTATGTTTGCTTTGTCCGCCTTCTGTCCTCAGTTGCAGAATGCCGTGAAACTGTTAGACTCAGGAGCTGTAAGGGCCACTCGGTTCCTTTGGCGGTACCCAATAGCACGGATTTTCCTACTTTTTTACCTTGTAAGGCGCTCGCTTATCTATTCAATCTCATTCGCCCTACTTGTAAATTTATGGAACATTAAACTGACATCATTTATGAATTGACAGGTCTTTGTTCATCTCTTCTTGATGTATCTATTACACCGACTCCAGGTATGTTTGGTCCTTTTACACTGAATATCACATCACAGTCATGTAACTCAACTTGTTGTCGTCATAAATCTCATGCTCTCTTGTAGGAGCAAGCCGAGGCCCAGGAAGTTGCCGAAATGACCAACAACGTATTCAGACCATAACAGATTCCATAAGAAAGCAACAAATGGGGTTTTAAGAGATTGCTGAGTGAGAAATGTGGAAGAAAGAAGCAAACTATGGATTATAGAGAAGGCTTTAAACTTTTTATATAGAGGCTTTAGCACATAATGTTTTTTTTTTAATCTTCTAACCCGTGGGTATGGTAAATGGGGTTTATACACACTTGATTGATAGGAATGGTTGGTTTTAAAGCATTTGAATATATGTCTGTTGAGCCTAATTAAAGTTCGGTTTACGTATTTTCCAAAGCCCGAACTCAGTTTAGTTTGGTCACACTAAGCTGAACATGTATTTTGGCTACTGCCACCTCCAATGATCTGTGACTGAAACGAAAATTTCAATTCAGAAAATGGAGAAAACAAGATTAACGGTTCATCAAAACCTTAATAAACAAACAACAAAACCATTTGTTTTTTTTTTTTTTTTGGTAGGACAACAAAACCATTTGTTTGTAAATGGCAAAAGAAGAGGCTTCTCTGTCTATAAAATGAATAATATAACCATCTTTAGGCTTAACATTGCCGTCTCAACAGCTTCATATTGGTCATCTGAAGATAAGTATAAATACAAACAGCTTTAAGCGGGCAAAAGTAATGACAGAAAAAATCTTCAAGATGCAGAGCCAACAAGAGAGACGAATGTCATTTTACCGATTCAAAGGTGGAAATTTGGAACATCTTAAGGGAAAAGCGGCTGGTGTAGGAGCCCCGTTGTTTCGGGATATCCCAACATTATGTTAAGATTTTGCAACGCTTGTCCCGAAGCTCCTTTCACGAGATTATCAATCTGCAACACCAAAGAGCTTTTTGTATACAAAAATGGCATTGTGTGAAAGCTAAAACAATGACAGAGGGATGGTTATACTTAATTACCACTGAGATTATGATAGCTCTTCCGGGGATTCGATCAGGAAAGACACTTATATGACAATAGTTGGATCCTCTAACGTTGTGTGTCCGAGGAACAACTCCTTCATCCAACACTTTGACAAATTCTTCATCCTACAAAACATTTTCGAAACATAAATAAGTAACAAAAGTAGTAATTGGCTGACAACACAAGAGTAATCATCACCTCAAAAGATGTCCTCAATTGCTGGTATAAGTCTTCGGTTCTAACCCCGGGAGCCATTTCCACATAGATAGTTGATTGCATTCCACGGATCTACCCAAACAACTGAGGATCAGTTAATGGGTTTAAGGCGAAAAATATAGAATTCATGCTAAGATTATATGTACCATTGGCATGAGATGCGGCGTAAAACTGACTGTTACTTTTGATTGTGCAACATCAGATAATCCTTGTTCAATTTCAGGAACTGCAAAATAAAAGAGATATTGAATTCAAATCATAGCAAAATTTTAACTCAATTGTGATAATTACTTCGTGACATACCATGGCGATGACGGGTGACACCATAAGAAGAAATGCCTTCAGCTATCTCAGAGTAAAGATTCGCCTCCTTAGCACCACGTCCTGATGAAAATTTCATGTCAGTCAAGAAACTAGAAACATTGCATCATTGTTCATTCCTAAAGATCACGCAGTAAGCTCAAACCTGCTCCACTAACACCAGATTTTGCATCGATAATAATGTTTTCATGTTTGATGAGATTTGCCTGCACCAAAATCAACACATTGAGTAGAGTTGAATAGAATACTAGGCAGTCAAATAAAATCGCATTCCAGAAAAGAATAGAAAAAAAAACCTTTATTAAAGGAACAAGAGGAAGTTGAATCGTAGTCGGGTAACAGCCTGGGTTAGCAACAAGTCGTGCCTTTTTTATGTCCTCCCTTAGTATCTCTGTTAGACCATACACAACTTCTTTCTGAACCCAGTATGACACTAGGTAAGTATAAGCATTACGAGCACAACAGCAAAAATCAAGCAATAACATTGAGAAAATCGAGAAAGGTACCTGTAACTCTACTGCCTTGTGTGGCTGACCATACCATTCTTCATATTCTGCAATATTACGCAACCGGAAGTCCTGAAAAGCGTATTTTAGATGGGCATATAACTGATAGAAAAGGAACCAAAAGAACCATTTCTTCAAGGATTACCGCTGAAAGATCAACGATTTTTAATGCAGTAGGCAGTTCCTTGATGATTTCCTGTTAAAATACACACACTCATTTCCGTTAAGTTAAGAAAAGCTTTTAAAAATAATTGAAATGGAAGAATGAAAGGAAAATGGACCTGGGTTGTTCCGTGAGGCAAGCAGCAGAATACAGCATCCACAGTAGAAAAATCTGCATCCTTTACCGAGATCAAACTAGGTAGTTTCTGAGGACAGGAAAAATATTTAATCATTGATCACTATACACCATCACAAAGTATCATTTGAAAAGATTCATCACTTGGAGTTTTACTAGGGCTATAGATCACTTATACTTGAGCTCTCAGGTGTGGGAAAACGCTTTCCATTGACTGGCCAGCTTTTCTATCAGCAGTCATCAGAGTGACCTGGAAATGCGGATGGTTTGCTAGAAGCCTGACGATCTGCCATTCAATAAAGAAGGGATTCCAAATCATTTGTTAAAAAATCAAAACTTACTAACTCATGCATTTGAATTAAACCTTAGACACCGATGACTATTAGTTTTTAAATAACGTTAAGAAGCTAAACTTTGCATATGTTCACTAGTTAAGCTAAATAAGGAGGCCAATACCCAACAAGACACAAACTTGCAACAAGAAGCATACCACTTAAGCTCTGATTCATTTCAAAACCAAAGAGATCACTAAAACAAACAATTCCACGGAAATTTAAAGACAGATTCAACATTGCACAAACCTCAGCACCAGTGTAGCCACTTGCACCAAGAAGACCAATCCGAATATCCTTTTCAGGTTTAACAGAACTACTAGCTGAAACTCTGAAGCTCATTGAAGATGGAGAAGCCACATGGGATCCCAAAGAAAGCTTCTTGACTCGCTTATCCGCTACACGAATCTTCCTTTCCCCCTTTTCAAAACAGAGAAAACCCACATTCGTATATTTATCAGATTGCAGAAAAAACAAAAACAAGCTACAATGAGCTTCAATAGGACCAAAACTAGGTTGAATTTCATCAATGTGGATTCATTGGAAAAATCAGAAACTAGAAACAGAGAGATGTTAAGAGTTTTAGAATTGACCTTGAACCAGCATCCTTGTATTGAACTAAAAGCAGACGCAGTACTCATTCTTGGACTGGATTCTAACAACAACTCAATAGTCAGAATCGGTATACCAATTCACCAAACAGGAACAAAAAAAAAGAGTAATCTTTTTTTGCTCAGAAGAAGAAGAAATTAGCTTCTCTCAATGTGATTTGAGATTGAGAGTCAATTATGGTAGTGAAATCAAATACCCGTAAACTCTTCGTCACTCTCTCTCTCTCTCTCTCTCGCTCTATACGAAGTGGTCGGAGAAGAAGACTGCAGAAAAAAACACGACAAAGATTGTGAGACGAAACGCAAAAAACGACGTCGTTTCAGCTAGCCCTACTTAAAAACCTATATCAAACGACGCCGTTTTAGAGGAATAAAACCCGTGGACTTTAACGGGTTACCCGGAGGTAGACCCGGTTTATCAACGTAGCGATAACGACGAATTAAACGTTTGCAGAAACGCGATTGTTCTTGGCGTTTGCATTAGGTGACGACAAAAATGTGGCATTTTGGTAAATATAGGACTAAGAAAAACAGTTAAGAGAATTTGTTTCTACGGAGTCAAAAGAAATCTAGAGAAAAAGCTCCAAACTTTTTTTCCGGTTTCTTCTGTCGTCAAATCAATCACTAACAGTGGGAACAGTCTCTGTTTCTACTGGGTATTTTCGCAAAACCCTTAAAACTCTCAAGTAAGAGAGACGAAGAAGAAGAAGAAAGTGTGAGATTCCGACGAACAAACGGGAATAAAAATGATAACTTTACGCGGCGCTGCTTCTTCGAGGTCAAGGATCGCTCTTTCGGGTCGGATTGAAACAGCTTTAGAGAATATCTACAGAAAATACAATCTTACTCCGATTAATGATGAGACGAGACAGAGACTCTCTTCGATTCCTGAGAATTTGGGTTTTGAGTTGGTCAGGAACGTTTTTAGTTTGCAGGCTGGTTTGATATACAATCTCGACAGCTTAATCGTTTCTAAAGTTAACCAAGCCGTTAGTTTTACTGGCTATCCGCGGCTGAGCTCAGGTGTGTCTCCGGCGATCTCTCGTAGTCCCTCTGGAAGACACGTGTGCAGGGTTCTTCAAGGTTAGTATCAGAATTTAGAAGATGACCCATATGATAGTAAAAATCTTTACTTTGTTATGATTGTTGGCTATTGCAGAAGAGATGTCTGTTGATTCTGATGCTCCTTCTCCTAAGTCTTTGAAAAGTGAAGATAATGGAGGATCGTTGCACATTCCACAGCTGGTAGCTTCGGGTGAACTTGAATTTAAGAAGGCGTTTTTGTTACTTAGCTATATTCCAGGGTAATGTTTGTGATGCAAGTTTTCCAATTTCTTACTACATCTCTATAATCGATAAGTGTTTGGTTTTGGTGGTGACGATTACCTTTTTTGGTGATACTTAACTTTTTTTTTCTTTTTGATGTTATACAGGCAACAACTGGGCCAGGTTACAACTGCTGATGAGATTAGACTGTGGAAAGATTTGCCAATGGTTGCATATGAAGCAGCGGTTTGGGACCGTTTGGGCCGGCATTATTGTCCTCAAACAGACCGAAGAGTGGTATGGTTCTAATTCTACATTATTGGGTATTGTTTATATTTTCATGTTTGCATTTCTAAAGGTGATTTTACAAGAAGTAGAGACTCGGTGTTAACTAAAAGAAAGATGTCTTAACTTTGAGTTAGGTATCAAAGTTGTATTAACTGCATCTTCTGTCATGCTTCATTTCCTCAGTTGCAATGGGATAGTGGCAAGACCCATTACTATCAGTGTCATGTTGCTCCCAATGGTAGCTACACATTCAAGGTTCATTCAGCTCTTCAAGTACTATCTTTCATATTTGCTTTTTCCATGTGGCATATGTACTGGGTCAAATTTTGATTCAATACCTAATTCTAGAAGCCGTAGAAGCAATTCTTTGCAAGTCGCTATCATATGTCTATTGAACATTGTATCTTAATAGTAGGATAAAGTCCTTGACATTGACTCAAAATACTGGTACTTATCGACATACTGTGTTCACAGGGCCCACTTCTTGAACACACTGGAACACACTTGCACAAGGTCTTGGGTGATGAAAATGTTTTAACTGTCAAATTCGTGGACGTCCCGAAAAACTCATCAACATATAGCAATGACCGTTACTCTACATACAAAGGGATTGCCAAGAACGGTATCATGATTGGTTTACGTCGTTATCAATTTTTTGGTGGGTTTTTTTCCCCTTTTCTCTTGATTAACTACCATTTATGTCGTTACACATACAAAACTAATCATTGTAATGTTGCTAAGCTATGTCTACCTATACACATATCATACTTTTGCTTTAGATTTAGAACCCGCTATTGTAGCTCTTTCTAACATTCTATTGAACAGTTTTCAAAGATGGAGGAAAAGAGGAAAAGAAGAAAGATCTTTCTACAAAGAAAGTGAAATGCTACTTTATACGCACAGACTCCACAGCTTCTTATGATATGGAAAATCCCTATATTTTTACTGGAAAGTCAATTCATGAAGCCCGTATGCATTTTATGCATGTGCATCGAGCACCAACTTTGGCGAATTATATGGCAAGGTACATTATAGGAAGCATATATGAAGATATTCTACTTTATCATCTCTAAACTCTTCTATAGATGTTCCTTTGTTATCAGAGTCTCCTTTCTTTTGCTGATGCTTCAGGTTTTCCTTAATTCTGTCAAAGACTAAAACGCTTGAAGTTGACATGACTGGGATTACCTTTGATCCAATAGATGATATACACTGCCATGTACGTCCTTAATTCATGTTTCCTTCAGGAACTGCGTCTCTAATACCTTTAATTGTATTCGCTATGTTCTTTGACCTTTTTCCAATTCTTCCAATTGCAGGATCAAGATGGGAAAGATGTTCTTGACAAGAACAAAAAACCTTGTATACATTCAGATGGAACTGGCTACATCTCTGAGGACCTGGCTCGGATGTGTCCCCTAAATATATTTAAAGGGAAATGTCTCAGAAGTGAAAATATTCAGGTCCTTACTCTGACTTTGATGGTTGACTAGTAGGCCCTTTGTTCACTCTTTTTTTACTTTTACTTTTATCATGTTTTTTTTTTCTTCTCATATTTGTTTTGAATTAAGAGTAAGATTTCAAATTTTGATGGCCAGGAAGCTTGTAACCAAGACCCGGTATGTTTGACACCCATGTTTATGCCTGATTCTATGTTTGTTTATTATTGAACTCAAGTAGTAAACAATTACCTTTTCCAACAGCCTCTTTTGATCCAGTTTCGGATGTTTTATGATGGCTATGCTGTTAAGGGAACTTTTCTCTTAAACAAGAAAGTAAGTTCGCTCTCTTTCACATTACAACATTTTTTTTGGGGGTTTAAATGTTTGCAATTCCTAATTTTGCTTCCAATTTGGCAGCTTTGTCCTCGGACTGTCCAGGTTCGACCTTCAATGATCAAGGTGTCTAAAGATCCATCCTTGTCAAATTTTAGCACCTTTAACGCTTTGGAGGTAGTAACTACAAGGTATTTTGTTTATTGACTACTTGTTGTTTTGATACTGAAGTTCTCTCGTTCAATTGTTCTTATCGTGGAGTGATGTTATCCTAGTGACATCTAGTTTTTTTCATCATCCAGTAATCCACCAAGAAGAACAAAGCTATCAAAAAATTTGGTTGCGCTGCTTAGCTATGGAGGAATCCCTAATGAATTCTTTTTGGATATATTGCTCAACACGCTGGAAGAGGCTAAAAGCATATTCTACAACAAACATGCTGCGCTTAATGGTGCTTAAGATTCCAAACCTTTCTTGTTCCTTTGCATTTTTTTTCTATTCATGTGCCTAGAACTATTCATTTCTAAGAAGTCAATTTTTCTGTGCAGTTGCTCTTAATTATGGAGAAATGGACGACCAGAACGCCGCACAGATGATATTGGTTGGTATCCCCCTTGACGAACCACACTTGAAGAATCATCTGTCTATTCTTTTAAAGACAGAGAAAAATGATCTCAAAGCAGGAAGACTTCCTGTGACCGAGTCATACTATCTCATGGGGACAGTGGATCCCACCGGAGAGCTAAAGGAAGATGAAGTCTGTGTAATCCTGTATGCTACTCAACTCTTCTTTTACTTTTTCATTTTGAGTTTTACATGGAAACAAGAAACAGTGACTTGCTTCTTTGGAATTGTGAGTTAGTTGTTCATTTCGTCACTGCTTCTTTTCATGGTTTTGTAGTGAGTCTGGGCAAATTTCGGGAGAAGTGTTAGTTTATAGAAATCCTGGATTACATTTTGGAGACATACATATTCTCAAGGCTACATATGTTAAGGCCTTGGAAGAGTATGTTGGAAATTCCAAGTATGCTGTGTTCTTCCCTCAGAAAGGTCCAAGATCCTTGGGGGACGAGATTGCAGGTGGTGACTTTGATGGTGATATGTATTTCATATCAAGAAACCCTGAGGTAATCCACCACATTAGACAGTAAAATTAATTATTGTTGTGACCTGATTTTCTTGGGTTTGCTTTCTGTTTTAGCTGCTTGAACACTTCAAACCAAGTGAACCGTGGGTGAGTTTGACTCCTCCCAGTAAAAGTAACTCTGGTAGAGCGCCAAGCCAGCTTTCACCAGAAGAGTTGGAAGAAGAACTTTTCGAAATGTTCCTGAAGGCAGGATTTCATGCCAGGTACTCCCAACTCACTTTTAAGCTCTCAATATTGAAAGATTCAAAACTGTCTTGGATTTGCAGAAAAATCAATCTTTGAAATGTATGTCTTTTTTTTCTCGGGTTTACAGCAATGTTATAGGGATAGCTGCAGATAGCTGGTTAACAATAATGGACCGCTTCCTCATACTAGGAGATGAGAGAGCTGAGGAAAAAGCTGAAATGAAGAAGAAAATGCTAAAGCTAATTGATATATACTATGATGCTCTTGATGCACCAAAGAAAGGGGATAAGGTCTATCTTCCAAACGAGCTGAGGCCCGACATCTTTCCACATTACATGGAGCGGGAGAAAAAGTTTAAGTCCACTTCTATTCTTGGATTAATCTATGACTTTGTTAAATCACAGACAACAGAGGAACCCACACCATCATCTGGTAAAGGACCTTTCTTGTTACTACTACATACATATAATCAGATCACCAAAGAAATCATTAATCATGATATGTGTTTTACTGTGGTTTACAATTTAGAGATCAGTAAACTCCCCTGTTTCGAAGATGAGCCGGTCTCAGAGTTTCATATGGAGAAATGTAGACAGTGGTATGATAATTACAGAACTGAGATGACCCACGCGATGAAGACTGATAAGGATGAATCAGCCAATGAAGTTATTCAGAGATACAAGCAGGTAAGGTCCTCAATTCGATGTCACCACTCCTGCAGATTCAATTAATTCTAAGAGCAAAGATCTCCAATGTTTTGTTGATTGGTTCCATGGAAGTATGTAACCAACAAGAGTCAATCATGCTTATTAAAGAAACGGTTTATTTGTCGTGTGTCAGGAGTTCTATGGTGCTGCAGGGTTTGAAGACAGCAAGAAAAGTCTGGAAGAACTCTATCCGCAAGCCCTTGCACTGTACAAGATCGTTTACGATTATGCCATTCATGCAGGTGTTTCGAAATGTGGGTTTGTCTGGAAAGTAGCAGGACCGGTCCTGTGCAGATTCTATCTAATGAAGAAAATGCAGGAGAAAACTTTAGTGTGTGCACCATCTGTGCTTAAAGAGCTTTGGGGTTGAAGAATACAACCACTTAGTTCGCCACTGGTCTGGTAATAATTAATAAGCCTTTTGTTGTTGCTTCAGTGTCTAATAAGAAGCGTATGAGGCAAGTAACTTAACTAATAGAAGCCAAGATGTGTGTATTGTAGTGCCTTTGGTTTGGTTTTAATGTAGATTTGTTCTCTAATGAATATTTCTTGTGAATATTTTGGTTATGAAATGAATAAAAAATATGTCCCGTTAAATAACCTTGAAACTTGTAATATAAATGTTGAGAATTTAAAACCTTGGAACCAGCATCTTCCTTCGTTCGAATTAGAAGGAAATTGAGGAAAGAAGAAAACAAAATTTAGATCGCGATTTTGCGATGGCAACAGCGAAAAACGCGAGATTTTGTACTTGGGCGTTTGCAGCGGCGGGGACAAAGTTGTGGCAGCTTTTGTAATTCTGGTGGGTCGTGCTAGGGTATTTAGGTAAATTTAAAAAATGAATAAACGGCTATATTGTGGACTGTATAAAATCTTCGTCAAGTCAAATCCATAAAATCGATTCACAGAAGAAAAAGCTAGGATTTTTTTTTTGGGTCAGTGTATCGTCAGATCAACAACGTCGCATCAACAAAGAAATTTGAAAACTTGACAACAGTTTCTCTTCTCAGTCACTGGGTATTTATTTGTATGAGAACCCTAAATAGAAAACTGATTCCGATTTGGGGAAAAAGATGATGACCACCACCGGCGGCGATGAAGTTTTTTCGCGGTCAGAAATCGTTCTTCTGGGTAGTGTTGAAACCATGTTGGAGAAAATCTACGGGAAACACAATCATCATCCTCCGATAAAAGTGGAGACAAGACGGAGACTTTCTTCGATTTCAGAGGAATTGGCTTTGGAAACACTCAGGAAAGTTCTCAATATGGAGTATGTGAAGACCCTCGATGGAATAATCACATATTTCGTTAAAGATATGGCCACTGTTGATGGCTCTCCACGGCTGAGTTCCGGTGAGTCTCCGTTTCAGTCTCCTACAACTCCTGGGAAAAAAAGTTGCAGGCCTTTTCAAGGAGACGTGTCTCTTGATGGTGAAGATCCGTCTCCTAAGTTCTTGAGAAGAGATGAAAATGGAGGAACTAATCACATTCCTCCGCTAGTAGCTTTGGGTGAACTTGAATTTAAGAAGGCGTTTCTGTTGCTTACCTATCTCGGAGGGTATGTTTAGGCTGGCGATTTTTTCGATCAGTTTTATATCTATTTCTTTGGAAAGTGATCGTTTTTGTTATAGGAAATCCCTGGGTGAGGTTATATCTGGTGATGAGATCAGACAATGGAAGGATTTGCCAATGGTCGCATATGAAAGTGCAGTGTGGTTCAAGTTGGGCCAAAACGAGCAAAGAATCGTATGGCACTTCTCTGTTATGTTCTATATTGGTTGCTATATATCATGGTTAGAGTGTCGAGGTTGTACTAATTGCTTCTTCTTACATGCTTCTTTTCCTCAGCAGCTTGAATCGGATAGCGGGAAGACTCATTACTATCAATGTCATGTTGCTCCCGATGGTAGTTACAGATTTAAGGTTCAACCGGCTCTCCAACCACTATCATTCATGTTTGCATTTTCCCATGTTGCATAGGTTATTTGTTTTTTATTGATTGACTGTGTTCACAGGGTTATCTTCTGGAGAACACTGGAACACACCTGCACAAGGTTTTGGGTGATGATAATGTTTTAACAGTTAAATTCGATCAATTACCAAAGGAGTCAACCTACTGTGACGACCCTTACTCTAAATACAAAGAGATTGCTAAGAACGGTATCATGGTTGGTTTACGTCGTTATCAATTTTTTGGTGGGTCTTTTTCCTTTTCTCTTGATTATCATTGATGTTATTGCAAATACAACTCTTTTCCTTGTTAAGGTGCTAAGGCCATGCCTAGCAGATATTGTCATACTATAGTACATAGTACCTTATTAACCTTTCTTTTAAACAGTCTTTAAAGATGGAGGGAAAGCAGATAAAAAGAAAAGAAGTTCTACAAAGCAAGTGAAATGCTACTTTATACGCACGGACTCTACAGCGTCGAGTGATATGGAAAATCCCTATATCCTTGCCGGGATGTCTCTTCATGAAGCTCGGATGCATTTTATGCATGTGCATACATTGCCTTCTCCGGCCAACTATATGGCAAGGTACTCTAGTTTCTTCTAAGTCTCTAGTGGAGGCATCCTGAAGATTTCTTACTGTTTCATTTTAAAACTGTTTTAGAGATGTTTTTCCTTTGTAATCAGGGTCACCTCTCTTTTGTTGATGTTTCAGGTTTTCTTTAGTTCTGTCAAAGACAAAAAAGCTTGAAGTTGACATGACTGGGATTACCGTCAAGCAAATCGATGATATACACTGCCATGTACCTCTTTAAATTCATGTGTTCTTCTGGAACTGTATTCACTATATGGGCTTTGACCTCTTTCCCTCTCTGACAATTGCAGGATCAAAGTAATAATGATGTTCTTGATAAGAATGGGAAACCTCGTATACATTCAGATGGAACTGGATACATCTCTGAGGACCTTGCTCGGATGTGTCCAGTAAATATTTTTAAAGGGAAAAACATCAAAAGTGACATTATTCAGGTCTTTGTTCTATTCCATGACAATTTAATGGTTGATTAGTTCACTCTTGTTTCCTTATTATGTTTGTTTCTGATTTGTTTTGAATCACAGGGAAAAACCTGTGTCCAAGAGCCGGTATGTACTTTACAGGCCACGTTTAAGCTCGATTCTGTAATTGAGAATCGCTTACCACAAGTACTGACACTTTTTTCGTTTGTTTCCAACAGCCTCTGCTGATCCAAATTCGGATGTTTAATGATGGCTCTGCTGTTAAGGGAATTTTTCTATTAAACAAGAACGTAAGTAGACTCTCTTTCATGTCACAGAACCAGATTTTTGAGCTATTCCTAAATTTGCTCCCAATTTGGCAGCTTCCTCCATGGACCGTCCAGGTTCGGCCTTCTATGATCAAGGTGTATAAAGATGAAAAATTGTCAAGTTTTAGCACATTTAACTCTCTGGAGGTAGTCAATAAAAGGTATATGTCTGTTGGATTTATGTTATCTTCAAGCTGAACTTCTCACTCGAGGTTCTTATTTGATGATCTCTGGTTGTTTCCATCTTCCAGTAATCCACCAAAGAGAGCGAAGCTATCGAAGAATTTGGTCGCGCTGCTGAGCTATGGAGGAGTGCCAAATGATTTCTTTTTGGATATATTGCTCAACACGTTGGTAAAGAAGAATACCATATTCTTCAAAATACGCGCAGCGGGTAAAGGTATGGTTATAACTCTAAAGCTTTGGAGTTCTTTTGCAATTTTCGAGCTCCGAAACTGAGTGAACTAACATAAGATGTTTTCCTAAAGTCTTTAATATCATAGGAAGCATGAGAAGTCACATGATGGCTCTTTTCTTAAGTTTATTTGTTTTCTGCAGCTGCACTTCGTTACGGAAATATGGACGATAAGAACGCTTTACAAATGATCATGGCTGGTATCCCCCTTGATGAGCCATATTTGAAGCATCATCTATCTATTCTCTTAAAGATAAAGAAAGATGATCTCAAAGCAGGAAGACTTCCTATTGACGAATCATACTATCTCATGGGGACAGTGGATCCCACCGGAGAGCTAAAGGAAGATGAAGTCTGTGTCATCCTGTATGCTACCAAATTCTTCTTTTTTTTTTATTTATTATAAGTGTAGATGGAAACATGTTTAAACCGTGACTTGCTTCGTTGGAGTTGTGAGTTAGCTGTTCATTTCCTCACTACTTTCTTTTTCGTGGTTTTGCAGCGAGTCTGGCCAAATCTCAGGGGATGTGCTAGTTTACAGGAATCCTGGACTACATTTTGGAGACATACATATTCTAAAGGCTACATATGTTAAAACCTTGGAACAGTATGTCGGAAATTCCAAGTATGCTGTGTTCTTCCCTCAAAAAGGTCCAAGATCTTTGGGCGACGAAATTGCAGGTGGTGATTTTGATGGCGATATGTATTTCATATCCAGAAATCCCAAGGTACACTGCTACGTCCATCACAGTTATAGTAAAATTTCATTGCTGAGACCTTACTTATGAACTGCAACTTCCTCTGTTTAGCTACTCGAACACTACAAGCCAAGTGAACCGTGGGTGAGTTCTTCTCCACCAAGTAAAATTTACACTGGTAGAAAACCTAGTGAACTTTCACCCGAACAGTTGGAAGAAGAGCTTTTCAACATGTTCTTAAAGACAGGATTTAGTACCAGGTACATTATTTAATTCTCGGGTTACTTTCACGGTCACATAGTCCTTTGGGTTAAACATGCCTTGTTTTTTGGATTCACAGCAATGTTATAGGACAGGCTGCAGATAGCTGGCTAGCAATAATGGACCGCTTCCTCACCTTAGGAGATGAGAGTGTTAAGGAAAAAGCTGAAATGAAGAAGAAAATGCTAAAGTTGACTGATTTATACTATGATGCTATTGATGCACCAAAAACGGGGACTGAGGTCAATCTCCCGTTCGACGTAAAGGTTGATATTTTTCCACATTATATGGAGAGGAATAAAATATTCAAATCCACTTCTATTCTTGGATTAATCTTTGACACTGTGGATTCTCATAATGCAGAGAAACCCCCACCATCGGGTACGGATCTTCTTGTTACTATAGTTAATCAAAGTACAAAAGAACTCATCACGTTGAATATGTTTTAACGGCTTAGCTCTGGGTTACCTTTCAGAAATCAGTAAACTCCAGTGTTTTGAAAATGAGCCGGTCTCTGAGTTTCACATGGAGAAATGTAAAAGCTGGCACAAGAAATACAGACACGAGATGTGTCAAGCGATGATCACTGATGATGATTCCTGTAATGAAGTTATCCAGAGATACAAGCAAGTAAGCTCTTCAATTTAGTTAATTCTAAGAGCAAAGTTTTAGCCAATAGCCTTCATGAACCACCGGTTTTTTGTTGATTCTAATGCTCTATAAACAAATCATTGATTGAACGGTTTCTTCTCTCTGTAACAGGAGTTCTATGGTGCTGCAGGGTTTAAAGAAAGCAAGAGAAGTCTGGAAGAACTCTACCCAAATGCCCTTGCACTTTACAACATCACTTACGACTATGCCATCAAGAAGAATAATGTTAAAAGTTGTGGGTTTGTCTGGAAGGTTGCAGGTCCGGTCCTGTGCAGATTCTACGAGAAGAATTCAATAATGTGTTCGATTTCTGTGCTGAAAGAGATTTTCGGCTGAACACTACTGTTCTGTTCTGGTAATAACAATAAGTATTTGCTGTCTTCATGTCTCATAATATGCGTGTTAGGCAAGTAACTTACTTATAGGCTAAACCCAAACCAAGATGTGTGGTTTAGTACTGGCTTTGGTTTAGTTCTAGTCTTAGATTTGTCCTCTAGTTAACATGTAATTTCGTGTGTATGTATATTTGCTTATGATATATGAAAAAAAATCATGTCCTTTATAGTGTGGTGTACAAAGCTGTCTTTTTCAGTGTGACCCCTCTGCATCCTCATGCTTCCATTTGGATTTTCATGTCCTTCTTCCTTCCATTACTATATGTTTCAAGAAAAGTAGAGAAAGTTTCTTCTTCACTGAACCACTGATATACTTTAATATCCACATCAATGCATGCCAATGCTCCTATATGGGTTTGCTCATGAATCTACAGACTAAGCCGACTGAATAAGTTATTGCCTCTGTTTGCAATAAGAAGCGTGGCAAGTATCTTACCTAAGTAACTCAATACACGGTTCATTAACATTACCATCACTGTCCGGTGGAGCTACCGCAAATTTAAACTGTCATGATTGGTAGTTGGTACATACACACACAAGAAAAATAAAACATGGTTATAAAGTGGACAACGAAGATGCTAATAAACTGTGAACATTTGAAGAACTCGAAATGTTAATTTTGGCTGAAACCAGTATATGATACGTGAAGTTTAATCCATGAACTTATAAATTTAACCGAAAGGTAACCAAAAGAAATTGATAATTTAAGAAATTGACTTTATCTGTTTACTTAAGAGAATTTAAGAGTAAATAAATTCAGTAATATAATTTGGTGTTCTAGCATGTAGTACTTAAACAAAATTTACATGTAACGCTTGTGACGTGGCCACACTGACTAATCCCACAAGACGCCCAAATTAAAATTTAAAACGTTCTTTTCTTTTTCAAAAACGTGATCTAGCCGTTATAAGCTTTTGCGATAACGTTAGGAATGTGCGACGCTTATATAAGCGTATCAAAAGCCCTAAACGATTTCCATTATTATGCCAATAAGGAAGAAGAAGGTTTCCATTATTCTCTGCGTTTCTTTCATCGGCGATTTTGAGAATTGCTCTGTAAGTTTCTGAATCGATCCTTCAATCTCATCTGCTTTTGTTTTGAGAAATCGTTGATTTATCCTTCTCTTCAATTAGTAATTTTGTAGTCGATCTTTAGGTTTCAAAATTTCACAATAATCGCTTTTTCTCTTCATCGAATCAACTAGTTCGGGTTTCAGAATCTCAATAATCGCTTTTTCTTTTAAGGTTTTTGTTTTGATTTACTCGATTTCAGTTTGATTCTTTGGATTAGGGTTTCAAATTCTGTAATCGTTATTTTAATCAAAGACTTGTATATTTTTATCTAACAAATTTGTTTTATTATTGTTGCAGATCAAGTTCGTATAAGAAGACAGAGACTGGATTCTTCTCTCATTGATCACAGAGAGTTTTCTCGAGGATACTTTCACAACAATCTACAAATCTCTTCAGGTAATTCTCTGAACTGTGGTTTCCAATTTGTTGCCTTGTGTCTGAATCTAAATTGGGAACATTTGTCTCTCTTTGATGATCTAAAAGAATCTTGAAAGATACCTTACGGCTTAAAAACCAACGGCTTAAATACATTTGACAATCTCAAACCCATGGCTTTGACAGAGTTCTCGGTTTTGAGATAAAAGCTGATAAACACACTATCATGCTATGAGCTCTTTAGCTAAACTGGTCCGATCAGAGTTGCCTTTACCTGCGGCTTAAAACCCTTAAGGGGTATGGGAATTGAAAGAGAGTACAAGTACCCACGGGTTTAACAGAGTTCTTGGTTCAAAGATAAAGCGGATAAGCACACTATCACGCTATGAGCTCTATAGTTAAACTTGTCCGATGAAAGTACACATGGCTTTAACAGAGTTCACGGTTCAAAGATAAAGCTGATAAACACACTATCACGCTATGAGCTCTATAGTTAAACTGGTCCGATGAAAGTACACATGGCTTTAACAGAGTTCTCGGTTCAAAGATTAAGCGGATAAACACACTATCACGCTATGAGCTCTATAGTTAAACTGGTCCGATGAAAGTACACATGGCTTTAACAGAGTTCACGGTTCAAAGATAAAGCTGATAAACACACTATCACGCTATGAGCTCTATAGTTAAACTGGTCCGATGAAAGTACACATGGCTTTAACAGAGTTCTCGGTTCAAAGATTAAGCGGATAAACACACTATCACGCTATGAGCTCTATAGTTAAACTTGTCCGATGAAAGTACACATGGTATTGACAGAGTTCTCGGTTCAAAGATAAAGCTGATAAACACACTATCATGCTATGAGCTCTATAGTTAACCTTGTCCGATGAAAGTACACATGGTATTGACAGAGTTCTCGGTTCTGAGATAAAAGCTGATAAACACACTATCATGCTATGAGCTCTTTAGCTAAACTGGTCCGATCAGAGTTGCCTTTACCTGCGGCTTAAAACCCTTAAGGGGTATGGGAATTGAAAGAGAGTACAAGTACCCACGGGTTTAACAGAGTTCTTGGTTCAAAGATAAAGCGGATAAGCACACTATCACGCTATGAGCTCTATAGTTAAACTTGTCCGATGAAAGTACACATGGCTTTAACAGAGTTCACGGTTCAAAGATAAAGCTGATAAACACACTATCACGCTATGAGCTCTATAGTTAAACTGGTCCGATGAAAGTACACATGGCTTTAACAGAGTTCTCGGTTCAAAGATTAAGCGGATAAACACACTATCACGCTATGAGCTCTATAGTTAAACTTGTCCGATGAAAGTACACATGGTATTGACAGAGTTCTCGGTTCAAAGATAAAGCTGATAAACACACTATCATGCTATGAGCTCTATAGTTAACCTTGTCCGATGAAAGTACACATGGTATTGACAGAGTTCTCGGTTCTGAGATAAAAGCTGATAAACACACTATCATGCTATGAGCTCTTTAGCTAAACTGGTCCGATCAGAGTTGCCTTTACCTGCGGCTTAAAACCCTTAAGGGGTATGGGAATTGAAAGAGAGTACAAGTACCCACGGGTTTAACAGAGTTCCTGGTTCAAAGATAAAGCGGATAAGCACACTATCACGCTATGAGCTCTATAGTTAAACTGGTCCGATGAAAGTACACATGGCTTTAACAGAGTTCACGGTTCAAAGATAAAGCTGATAAACACACTATCACGCTATGAGCTCTATAGTTAAACTGGTCCGATGAAAGTACACATGGCTTTAACAGAGTTCTCGGTTCAAAGATTAAGCGGATAAACACACTATCACGCTATGAGCTCTATAGTTAAACTGGTCCGATGAAAGTACACATGGCTTTAACAGAGTTCACGGTTCAAAGATAAAGCTGATAAACACACTATCACGCTATGAGCTCTATAGTTAAACTGGTCCGATGAAAGTACACATGGCTTTAACAGAGTTCTCGGTTCAAAGATTAAGCGGATAAACACACTATCACGCTATGAGCTCTATAGTTAAACTTGTCCGATGAAAGTACACATGGTATTGACAGAGTTCTCGGTTCAAAGATAAAGCTGATAAACACACTATCATGCTATGAGCTCTATAGTTAACCTTGTCCGATGAAAGTACACATGGTATTGACAGAGTTCTCGGTTCTGAGATAAAAGCTGATAAACACACTATCATGCTATGAGCTCTTTAGCTAAACTGGTCCGATCAGAGTTGCCTTTACCTGCGGCTTAAAACCCTTAAGGGGTATGGGAATTGAAAGAGAGTACAAGTACCCACGGGTTTAACAGAGTTCTTGGTTCAAAGATAAAGCGGATAAGCACACTATCACGCTATGAGCTCTATAGTTAAACTGGTCCGATGAAAGTACACATGGCTTTAACAGAGTTCACGGTTCAAAGATAAAGCTGATAAACACACTATCACGCTATGAGCTCTATAGTTAAACTGGTCCGATGAAAGTACACATGGCTTTAACAGAGTTCTCGGTTCAAAGATTAAGCGGATAAACACACTATCACGCTATGAGCTCTATAGTTAAACTGGTCCGATGAAAGTACACATGGCTTTAACAGAGTTCACGGTTCAAAGATAAAGCTGATAAACACACTATCACGCTATGAGCTCTATAGTTAAACTGGTCCGATGAAAGTACACATGGCTTTAACAGAGTTCTCGGTTCAAAGATTAAGCGGATAAACACACTATCACGCTATGAGCTCTATAGTTAAACTTGTCCGATGAAAGTACACATGGTATTGACAGAGTTCTCGGTTCAAAGATAAAGCTGATAAACACACTATCATGCTATGAGCTCTATAGTTAACCTTGTCCGATGAAAGTACACATGGTATTGACAGAGTTCTCGGTTCTGAGATAAAAGCTGATAAACACACTATCATGCTATGAGCTCTTTAGCTAAACTGGTCCGATCAGAGTTGCCTTTACCTGCGGCTTAAAACCCTTAAGGGGTATGGGAATTGAAAGAGAGTACAAGTACCCACGGGTTTAACAGAGTTCTTGGTTCAAAGATAAAGCGGATAAGCACACTATCACGCTATGAGCTCTATAGTTAAACTTGTCCGATGAAAGTACACATGGCTTTAACAGAGTTCTCGGTTCAAAGATAAAGCTGATAAACACACTATCACGCTATGAGCTCTTTAGTTAAACTGGTCCGATGAAAGTACACATGGCTTTGACAGAGTTCTCGGTTCAAAGATAAAGCGGATAAACACACTATCACGCTATGAGCTCTATAGTTAAAGTGGTTCGATGAGAGTTGCCTTTATGATGAGACTAAAACCTGCGGCTTAAAACCTTTTTTCGGTTCAAAAACAAAGGGGTATGGGAATTTGCAAAAGCCCTTGAAGCTTATAACAGACACTGGAATTTGAAAGAAAGTACACAGGGCTTTAACAGAGTTCTCGGTTCAAAGATAAAGCGGATAAACACACTATCACGCTATGAGCTCTATAGTTGAAGTGGTCCGATGAAA